GGATGTTGCTCTTCTTTTGTGATAGACACAAAAGATAAAATTTGTCAAGTTGAGGTATGGCATGTTTCTGAAAACAGTTTATAAAATGCAGTGGACTTAAAGTACTATATAAAAACGTGTTATGAACCTATTTCCAAGCCTGGCCAAACTGTTCAGATGCCAGCATGCTGGGAGTTGCCTGCATTGCTTGCTTGTTGGCTGGGGTGTAGCCTATATATCTCCTTGTGCATCTACAGTAGCAGTACTGATCTGGAGTGATACATTGGATGAAGGTGGTTAGAGCTAAACAAGTACTGTAATTGGAGATATGTAATGCTGGGATTATGTAAGGATGGAGCCATTTGCCATGTAGTATGATCCAGATTTTTGGTAGTGGGTAGGGGGAAGAAAGGCCATTGGGAAGGTAGTAATTCAGACACAAATGTGAGGTGATCTGCTGAGTCAGGCACTGTGACAGAAATTGGCAGGGCATAGCCAGAACTCCGTACTGGGGATGGCACCATTGTGTCACATTTGTATCATTGTCCCAGTTCCCTAGAGAACACAAGCAGTCCTCTCTGCAGCATGATAAACTTAGCTTTTCTTGCTGCAGGCTGTGCTGGGCACCTGAAGTTGATAAATCAGTGTAGTATCCTTGAGCTTGCCGTCTGATTAACTGCTTGCCCTATGAGATCCTGGCATAAACCTGCCTTCAGGCAGTCACTATCATGCGTGGTTCAGTATCTTTCTGGAACCTTCCATCCATAACCTACAACCTTGTATCAGGGAATGGTATGCTTCACGCTGATGCAGGTAGCATTTCTCTCAAATTGTGCAGGGTCCTTGCATGGCTTGAGATGGTGTAGTCTACATGGAGTGGGGGCAGAGGAGCTCTTAATGAGGTTGAGAGAGTAGGCTGGAGGGGTGAGTACCTGTACCAAGGTATCGTTCAGATTATAGGTTGGGCATGATACAGTGCTGCCTCCTTGTTTCTGAGCAGCTAACATGTTTGTGATGGAGAACTGGTCAGCCAGCATGCCTGTATATGTGGTATGATTCTTGCATTGGATGAGGAGAGTCTAGCTTTGGTGTTTCCGTCACTGCAATGTTAAACTGAGAAACCTACCGGGCCCTTGCACTTTGAGTTCCATGTAATGGTAAACATCAACTGGCCTGTGATAGAGCTGTCCTTTTGCTAAAAGCCATATAAACCAGTGTAAACCATGGAAGCAGCTTGACATGAACTTCCTTAGTATTTTTTTGTTAAAATTGAAAGTTCTTTCAACTTTGGATAGCTTTTAAGGCAAAAAAGGCCCATTTTATGATTAACTATATTTGGCCTCTAGCACAACAAACCAAAGAAACATACTTAGTGTTAATTTTTGTACTGACGCATATAATCATCTATATTCTTCTGTACTTTGTGCTCTTTGTTCAGTCCGTGATGATTTTGATGTCATGCCATGTTCAGGATGGTTGATCTTTGGTTATTTCTTCTTGATTTGTCTCCTCCTACAGGAATCACAGCAAACCTGAAAATAAGCTAGCCCTCTGTATGTGTAAGCATTTTCAAAATGTCTACATTTAAAGACTTGATTTGCATACTGTTTGAAGTAAATTCGTTGGACCTGGCAATTGTGAGTTACCGAGGTATTAGGGGACGCTGTCTTTCAAAAACAAAATCAAACTGTTATATAGCAGCAATTAAATGTGATTTTATGATACAGTCTTTAATTATGTCATTACTCTCTTCATATAAAAAAGCAGTCTGAGAAGAATAATACATTCAGCTAAATGAAGGAGAGAAAATAGACATAATTTGGAAAGAGATGTTATTCAAACATGGGTAAAATCACTTTTGCAAGATATTTTCTCTATTATTGGTGGCTCACGTGACCTAAGAGGTTGAAAAATTGTCCAAAATCAATTATGCTTACATAATAGTACCACACCCCGTATAACCAGTTTTAATGAATAAACAGTGACTCAAAAATCGTAGACATAGTTTGAAGATGTAATATCTTAGGGTGGGATTCACTTTGTCTTAGGATCTTAAAAGTCAGGGAACTCTGAGCCAGTTCGTGTATTTCCTTTTTTTTTAATGATATCTATTTCCTCTGCACGTTGTAATAGCTACAGCTGAGCTTGATGCCCTGTGCTGGGTATGAGGCAGGTGAAAGTCCAACCTGAGAAAAGTTCTCAGTCTCTATACGAAAGCAGGTTTTAAAATGGAGTGCTTATTTTTGTGACACCAACAAATTCAACATGTTGTGCAATTTGGAAGATGTTTTGGTTTCGAGCACCAGTGTTAAATTGTTCTTTGAGAATATCTTTTAATTACTTAATTATTAGTTAGCCTTTGAAAGTCAGTATTAATGAAACCTAACTTGGCAGTACTGACACTTTTATTTTAATATCAACAAACCACATAGTCATCAAAATGTGTGGGTCACAAGATTGGTCTGACAACTCCATTCTGTATATCAAATCAGTGTTGATTGCTGCAGTGGCTGCACAAATAACTTAGTCAAAATATTTCCAGTGTAGCATCTTCTAATGTAATTTTAAGAGGTCTGCAAGTCTAATAGAGGCATTTACAACCTTGTACTCCAATTGGACTCGCTTGTTGTTCAAGGATGGCTTCTAGTTACCTGAGGTCATGTGCCTGAAGACTTTGTGGTAGTCAAATGTTCCACATGCTATTTTGGAGACTGAGGTATTGGGTTTTCCTGTGGAAAAGATGACAAGATGCCCCATGAAGATATAATTATGCACTGCAGCATGGCACTCTCACGTTCTTCTGGAGGGGCTATGCTGAAGTTCAACTTGTCTTCAGTGGCACATGCTCCTTGACTTCTCAGGAATAATTTTTGAGGACTGTAGGCCTTAGCTACATGCTGCAGTTCCAGGACATTTTGGGGTTTTTTAAAAGGAATTTCAGCTTGAAGATTGTTTGTGGATATAGAAGACATTGCAGGTTTGGGATGGGCTGAACTCTAGTTGAAGGAAACACCTTGTCATTTATTGCATGAATGACTTACCAGCAAACTCCCTATTAACCCAAACATTTGAACTGTGTAGTCCTGTAGATGTCAGTGACAGCTCCAAAATGAAAACAACTTCTGGACTCTGAGAGTTGATTGGAGTTTGAAATGTAACCATAAAGCTAGACCCCACTCCTACAGCCTTTATATACGGTACAGTTCTGCTGTATGTCATGCAAACATAAAATTTCTAACTTGCGGAATGAGGGGTGTAATTTATAACCCATATTTCCTATTACCTAGGAAACATAAATATTTGTATTGAAACTTTCAGTGCTGTTTTGTTACATTGGCTAGTTTCCTCAAAAATATTATCACTGAATATACAAAATTGGAAGCAAAATACAGTATTATATTTGAGATAAGGGTAACTTTCAGATTCTGTGGTTTTTAAGTGATTATTGAAAATATTGCTATAATACAACCTCTACTTTTCTGTAAGAACAGACTGTTGTTATAGGAATGTTTTATAAAATGCAGTTCTCCCAGGGGAATCACAATCATCCTTTGTTGTTGAAAATTGCTGTGTGTTTTTTTTTTTCCCCCTGAATTTTGGAATTTTTCTTACCTTGAGTTGGTGTGCCATCATTCATCCTCTGTCATTATTTATTAAATCCTAGGAAAAAACCTTTAAACCCAAAAGAAAATTTTGGTAACATCTAATTTTGTCCTCAGTAGGGAGGTTGAACTTGCAGCATTTGAATGAAAAAAAACCCTATGTTAAAACTAATTATTTAAATTGTAGGATTTCTGGTGTTTGTATACCCTTCTTTTGCTATTTAGAAAAAAATAATAGGGTGATAATGTAACAGATCATAAAAGAGCTACATCCTCTCCTTTGCTCTTTTTACCAAGCACAGCTCATTTGTTTCACTGCTAATTTCCTTAATTACTGTGGTAACCAGTAGCTTTGCTCTGGATGCACGCAGGTTCCACAGCATGTTTAATTGTGTGCCTGTGGGCCTGCACAGTATTGAGGACGGTCAGGGTTAGGGTTCATAAGGGAGGCTCATAATTAGCTGGTGACTGAACCTGGTGACCTCTAAGCTCAAATAAATACCCTTCCTAGTGTTTCATTTCTGTAGTCAACTGGGATAAAACCTTTCTTTTGGACTGTTTGCAGAATATTGTCTCTCTTTCTGAGCATCTTTTTCTTATTAATCCTGAACATTTGAAAGAAATCTGCCAAATTTGATTTCTTCAAGGAATGTAGGCAGAGGGAAGATCTAGTATGGACTTCAAGTGAGTATAGACTTGAGCAAGCGCTATGTTGATGCTTTTGTTTGAGAGTTAATTATTTGTTTTAAAAAACTTTGCTGAAAACATGTAGGCAATGCTTTGCTTTTGGCATTGAATATCTTAAGTCTTTTATAAGATATTGTTTACTGCTTTTTAACTCTTAATATAAAAAGCAGTCTCATTAATACAGTCCTACCACTTGCCAAGCAATGAGAATTGATGTGCACGTGGTAATGCAGACTTGATGGAGTGGTTCTTTAGTCACACTGCCTTAGGTGCAAGTGGCATGAAAAAAAACCCTTATTAAAATACTATGTGCCAGATATCATGAGTATACACGCTGTAACATGAAGCAGGAGATAAAAGACTTTGTCTTTCTTTTGCACTTCTGTTTGAAATTTGTTTTATGCTTTTCAGTGTAACTGGTACTGCTTTAGAAAACAAGTATTCCCACAGAATGTAGCTGAAGATTGACTTATGCTAGAGGAAACTACTTTAAGATGTTGAATATGACTTCTTTTGAGGCATAAAGAACTTTTAAATACTTATTTCTTTAGAAATTAATATAAGAAAATAATAGTAGGAACTAAGTGCTGAATCAGTGATTGTTGGTTTATTGTTTTATTTTGTTTGGGTTATTTTTTTTCTGTTCTGGGTTTTTTTAGTACTCCTCAGATGCTCTTGCTAGTCCTAATTTTGTGCACGTGTCCAATTAACTCTCAATTCTTTCTCTTATAGGCAGTTACTGGGAAAAGCTTCGGAACCAAAGACTTTCGAGCAGCTCTAGAAAATGGAGTCCTGTTGTGTGAGTGAGTATTGACTTGCCTATATAAAAATCCTTCAGGTTCACATCAGCTGGCCTCTTTCCTTCCCGGCCTCTGAAATTTTTTTTGAAGTACCAAAAAAATTTTGTATTAAGTAATTTTTAACTTTTTTTAATACCTGTTGTTTGTCATGGGAAGTAAAAACAGATTTTGGAGATTCTCTTTCCAGATCTACAAATGTTCCACACACTTGTTTGTGTGATACTGCGAGGATCATGCTGATCCTCTGGCCAGTTGATTGATTTTTTTGGGTATAACATCTGTGATATCACTGGGCTTTCTCTTCAGCTTGTGCAAGGTAGTGTGGCCATGGCTGGGATCAAAGCACTTGGTTACCCCTATACCTACTGTTGTTGGGGTTTGGTTTTCTGTCCTCCATCCCCAGCCCCTGAGTGTTGGTTCTGTAAATGTTGAAAGCTACCTATGCACAGCAGAAAACTTTACATTAAGTTTTCTTTTTAAAAATACTACACTTCAGAAGTGAACTTCACAAAATTGTAGATTAAAGATAACAGGCATTTGATTTCATATCCTATCATTTATTGCTTTCATGGTTGCATCCAACTATCTCAATAATATTGAATCTGTTGAATGTAATTTGGTCTCCTTTATAAAAATATACTTTAACCTTCCCCCCCCCCCCGAAATTCTCTAGGGTGATAAAAATAAACAGACTGGATCTCCAGCATAATGTAGAAATATGTTGTCATATATGGGCACATGCAGTCCAGATTTCAGTACTTTTTGGACTTACTGTTTTAAACAGCAAACTCTGACCTCAGCTTGTTTTGGAGTACTTTCTGTAAGGAGCTTCCTTGTGTTTATATATTGTAGGCTTGGCAGTAATGGGACTTGTCTGGTTTCGTTGCTAGACTGAGTCAGAGGTGTAAAATGTCCACTCGTCAGGTCTCATCCGCATATCTGTAATTGGTTTTGTACTTACTGGAATAAGTTTCCAGGACTGGAAGTGGTGCTAATCCCTTAGTATTTTAAGGAACAGCAGGTGTAAATGTCATTAGAACACCAGTGCAAGAGAAATCTCATTAGAGAACTACCTGGGATGCTAGAAAAAAATGCCACAAATCTCAGAGCCACTCTAAAATCAGTTCAGCCAATCTGACGTTCAGAAAATATTTACAAAGGTTCAGTTCTCTGAGCTTTTTTTTTCCTATATATAATTTTTTCCTTCTGTGAATGTTACTGTGTTTTCTGTTCCTGCCTTTATTTTTCTTTGGGCCCTTTGCCCATCCTGGCACATCTTGCAAGTTGCTTCTGAAGTTATCTTGTGATATGGGGAGTTGATTAATTTTCAATAATATTGTAGAGGTGGATGCTGTATTTTCGTTACTTACATAATTAAACATTAATGAGTGTGACTATGGTAATAAAAATAGTTAATCCTTTTAATAAGAAGGTATTTCTTCAGGTATGTGTTTAGTGGGATTTGTATATTGTATTCAGATGTAACTTTAAAATAGTGTGTTTATGAATTGGAAGTTAACTGATACATCCTAATCCTTTGATATCTTCATTGTTGACACTTATTTGGCAAAAGAATGTGAGCCTCCATGTACCAAATGCAAATCAGTTAAATTTATCTGTAATTAATAGTAAAGCAAGAAAAACATCCTGCAGTTTCTTTGGCCGAGCAACTTGCCTTAGGAGGCACACAACTTTCTTTAAAGCAAGATGCCTCATTATGATTCTGCTAAATAATATAGTTATTCTCCTGTTAAATTCTCCTGATAGTTTTAAATTTGACATACTTGAAGTACAAAGAAGAGTGATTTTCATAGAAATTCTATGGAAACAGAAAAGAGCAGATGGCAAAAGTTTTCAAATGTCCAATTTTCACTAAAGATAATATAGTGCAAGATCTTAAGTAGTTGAGACAAACTGGGAATTCTGTTGCCCATTTCCTTGGTTCACCTTTAGTGTCCATGGATATACTCTCTCTGGAGATTGTATGTTTGACTTAAACTATAGCAGATAAGACCTACACTTGCACTACATATCCCTATAGCAGTTCAGTTGGTTTGTTTGGCCTAATCAATGACCAAGTGCAGATGTTGACAAAATAAAGCCTTTTACATTTTACTAGATCTCATGTACATATATTAGAGAAAGAAATTCACTAAAGTTTTTCTGATCATATGCTACTTCATGTTCTTCAGTAAAATAAATAAAAATTATGCATTTGGAAGATAAAAATATAAAAAAGGGAAGGAACTCCACCTTTTTTTTTAATTCCATCCCAACAGATCACTTTTTTTTTTTGAAAAGTCATCAAGTGTATTTTGATTAATAAGTAACTTGGTGTGATTGAAAAGTCTCAGGACCTGCAGACTTTTTTTTTTTCTTTAGGCACATAAGAAGTGTATCCTCCACATCAATGTCTAGGGGTAAACTGTTCTTTGTGTTATTTTCCAATTACCTTGGCTGCTTGAGATGAAAAATACTTTTTTCCCACATGAAGTTTTAAACTCCAGGTCTTGTCTCTGCGTTGCTGTGTGTGATCACAAAACCTTGCCGATGCTTTGTGTTGGGTAAAGGGTCTAGCCAGGCAAGCAGGGACAAGAGGGAGCAAGTCAAAAATCCTCAAAGGCAGATGAAGTCTGCAGAGTATCCTGAGGTCTCTGTTCTCTACTGACCCTGTGGTCTCTTAGTTTGGTGAATCACAATACTTCCCTATCTCTGTCACTGAAAACCTGGATATAAAGGTGCAAGGAATCCTGTGCCTCATCCTCACTGCAGGACAAGGTATGAATTTGGGCTTGTGTATTCAACACTGGTGTGTTAGTCTGTCCTATCTTCTCAGTTTAATTACGAATTTTATATAACGAGTGATATCAGCTGCAATTGCTTCTGACTGAGACTGAAAATTACTTGTGCATGTAAATTATATGTGCCAAAAATGATTGTTGCACACAGCATACTGGACTTGGTAACATGAAAACTGAGTTTATTTCTTGCCCTCACAGGAATATTAGTGCTTTCACACTGAACTCTGAGAAGCAACAGTCTGATACATTTTTGACATCTGCGTCAGAACCTTTATGTGAAGAAAATCTTTAAATAGGAAATTTGAGTCTGATTAACATCACCACCCATGTAGTAGAAACATAGATCTGTTTCTGCCTACGCCTACCCAGGCATCTTCTTTTCTTCTTTCTCAGTTTGCCATTCTGAGAAATCACTTTGTGTGTGCGTATGCAACTTGTCTCATTTTTCCTTCTAAAGTCTGTTGCTTGTCACTTCTTGGGAGTGTTAATAGGTTCAGATCTAATTCATTCAAGTCATGTTAAGTTAGGACCATATGCAAAGTATTTCTTACTAAGCATTGATGCTCATGCGTCATCAAGTACAGTTGATTATGTAACATAAAATCATTACTTTTTTTTTTTTAGTTTGATTAACAAGATCAAACCTGGCATTGTTAAGAAGATCAATCGTCTGTCAACTCCAATTGCTGGCTTGGTAAGTAATGCCATCAAATCTAATATCTGGGGTATGACACCAAGTGCTCTTTGTTTTTTAAGGAGCACTCTTGCTTACTGTTCTTACATAAGAGAGAGAGGTTTTTTTACATAAGATTTTTATCTTGAGATAAAAACCTACAAAGTTTTCAAAATTAGTTCCATTTTCATTTTTTTGTTTAAAATTGTACCATTTGTACGTTGTCTTAAATCACAAAGGTTGCCTAATCTGTGATTCAGATCTGTAAATTCAATCATCCTATCACTGTGTGAAGCTTCATCAGCCCCAGATGTATCAAGCACTGGCTTCTGTGCACGAACCTCTGTGGCATTATTTGTCTCTATTTAAAGACCACCATCCTATCTTATATTCACAAGCCATCAGATGTCCCTTTCTTAGGGAGTGGGCAGAATAGGAAATGTTCTGTGTAGTTAGAGTATTTTTAGAACCCGTTTCACTCCACCCACAGCAAAGCTTCAGTTGCATTAAAATAACTCTGATGCAAAGATCTCTCTTCAGGCTTCAGTTGAGGTATTTGCCAATGTTTTGGCTGTAAATCACATTTTTGGGGGGAGGGGGCAAGATGTATATAGTAATTTTCACAGGAAGTTTAAAAGATTTTTCTCTTTGCTGTTTAGAAAATTTGCTACCCAGGGACTGTAGGATAAGTTTTGTAGCCATTTAGCATCAGAAACCCTTTCGTGGGCAGGCAAGTTCTTTCTTCATAATTTTTTTCACTATGAAAACCTTGTTGGATAATCATATCACTAGGGTCTAGACTATTTAGTCCTGTCACAAGAACAATTGGTCCCATATTAAAAGATCTGAGGTGAACAGGGACATATGCTTGATTCCTGTAACAAATTGAAGATCCCACTTTATGAACATGCAATCTCAACGTTACCTGATTTCTTAGTAGGAGTAGAATGCAAAGCTTCTCTAGCTACTTTTATTTATATGTTTTAGTGGGATGAGCCAACAAAACATTGGCTTTTGCTGGTCAACCATGTAGTTCATTGGAGAATAAGTGTAGTTAACTTGGCTGGAGGTTATAAGCTTGGGCTAAATTGCCATATATTAGTTGCACAAGCTGAGAATGTGCATTTCCACATCAAATGAATGTAGACAGTATTAGTTGCCTTTGTCCCAGAAAAAGCTCAGGTATTAGGCTTGCAAATAAGACTGCTGCACATTCTTTTCTTTTGAGGCATACAAAAAAGAATTCAAATGAAACCAAAATAGTTCTTGGAGGACACCACGGAGGACACCAATCCAGTTGGAAACTTTAACATCAAGAGACAGCAGGGGTTTTTTTTGTAAAGCATAAAGAGATGCTGCAACTTTTAATTTGGGTCCTGGAAATACTGTAATCTGAATATCTTCTGATCATGTTCTTTCTACAGCTTCTTCATGGTCCTCTAGACTCATGTCCTGAAGTCCATTTCCAAAATATTTTACGCATTAATCACTGGGCAATTAGCATCCGTTTCTTGACTTTCCTGATTAAAAGGAAACAGACCCCCTGTGTTCTTGACAGTTTTGTGGCAGTCTGATTATCAGAAGGAAACAAATGCTTTGAAAGACATCTTGTTTCTCTTCCCCCTTCTCCCCCTCATTCCCTTTTGTTTTTCTTTCCCAGGAATTTCTTCAGTTTTGGTTTTGTTCGCTATGGAGTTAATATAGTTTACTTCCATATAAGTATGTCATTTAAGCATTGTGTACACTTCAACTGCCTGACAGGTTTTTTTCAGCAGTACAGAAATACAGTATTGAATAGATGTCTTTGGTTGAATCTCCAGAAGGATTTCATTATATTTTTTTATTTGATTTCATGGTTATTTTGAAAACAAATTGTCTGAGTTAAATAGTAAGTGAAAGCCTATAGGAATAATGAAATATTCAGTTTTGTATGGAATATTGTGTGCTATACTTTTTTTTTTTATTAAGTTAGGATGAGGTGCTGCTTTTAATGACAGAAATGCATTATTGATTTTTTTATGTCATATTTACGTTTATGATACCTTACTTATCATAAAATCCAATAGGGGCTTTATGTTAGCAGGATTGCCTCAATTCCAAGCACATTTTAGAAAACTGAAAGTCTTAGCTTTTGTCTCTAGTTTGATTATACTGCTGCCTAGTGATTTTTCATGTGTGAATTGCAGTGGTTCAGATATAATTATGATGGAATGGAAAAATAAATACATGTGTTTTGATGATTAAATACTCAAATGAAACTTGGCATTCAGTTAACAAAAAATGCTTAGTTGGTACCAGAAAAGTTTAAAAAATTGATTAAACTTCTCCCCAGTTTTTTGGTATGGCGTGGGAAATCTGGGCTGTAGCTTGTGTGCGAGGGTTTGTAAGAACGCTTTGGGAAGGAGAGTTGGATCTAGGCACAACTTCATACCCAGCTAGCAACTTGTCCCTTCTGAGGCATGTGCCTTGCGTGGTTTGGGTGAGATCTAGCCATCATCTTAGCTGTGTTTGCCTATTCATTTTTGTTCCAGTTTGGAAAACTGAACTGCTGGCGGTAAGGCAAGTCCCAGAGCAGTTGCAGGGAAGCGGTAGTCAAAGGTGGGTGACTGAGGAAATGTCCGTGCATTTCCTCTTATCGTGGTTTCCTGGACAGTGAGGGGTGCCAACTGCAGGGTGCAAAGGAGTAACTCTAGCAGTAGTTGTAGAAAGTTGCCACTTGCAGCAGGTTGATTCTTAACAGCATATGGCAGATTTTGGAGACAATGATGTTCCCATAGATGTCCTGAACGGATTTAATTGGGAGGTTGCTGTTGCTTTGTTTCCTTTAATTTTGGTCATTTTTTAAAAATGCCATGTAAAACCTTTGCGCTACAGTAGTTGCTGGAAAATTAAAATTTAGTTTCTGATTATGTTTCAAACTGTCTAAAATACACAACTTGTGTAAAGAGCAATGCATATATTTTCCCTAGTACAGCAGAGAGACAAGCAAAGTTGTACAGAGTAGCAGTTCCTCAAGCCCTCAGGCATTTCTAGGGGATATGGGAAGGGTAATAGAAAGGTCAGAGGACTGTGGAAACTGAGATTTCATTATGAATAGTAGAGAAAGTGCTATCTGCACTTACTTACTTAAAAATCCACTTTTCCTGGTCCATACATGTGTGAAACAGATATTCTTAAAGAAAATTACTCAAATTGATAAATCTTTCTATGTTCAGATCCTGCAGAATGATTTTGCTTAGAGTTCTTGGGGAGTAGGAGTGGTGGGAATAAAATGAATGCTTAACAAAAGCAAACACAAAGGAAAAATGTTTTCTCAAAATATACTGAGTTTTCAGTTTGACTCCCAGCATGTAAGATGGTTTGTATACAGTCATATGAGGGGGAGGACTTTGTGGTTTGACAACATACTTTCCAACAAGGTTCTGCTGAGCATTTTCAGAGGTGCATCTCTGGCAGCAGCACCATTGTTCCCCAGAAACCTCCTGTTTCGAACTCAGTTGGCTGAACACAAAGAATCATAAACTAGAATGAAAGTCACAAGACATTATGAGACAGTGAGAAGATGAATGAGTTATGTATAGTTTATGCAAGCTCAACATATCTGTCAGAATAACACATTGCTCATTACTTGTGAGGAATAAGTGTACGCTCTTCAGCATGGCAGTTCTAGGTAAAGTACATTTCCAACTGAGACCAGGTGGTGAAGCAAAGTCAGAGGTAAGAGTCAGTATGTCTTTTGGAGAGGGGTAGCGAGTGGAAATCTTGCTGCCTTGCAATATACCAATTTGGTCTTCTAAGACCATCTATCTTTGCTTGCAACTCCTGTGAGTAAGGTGGAAGTACTATGCTTTACACTGTGGTTGCACTCCTCACATCAGAGACATGAGGGCTGTGATCATAAGACAGGGCAGAATAGAAAGCTGTTGGGTTTTCAGAATTGTAAATGAAATGTTATTAGCACTTTTGTTTCAAGTTGGTCCATGATTTTAAACAAGTCGATGTTGCCAATTCAGACTGTCTCAGTGTGAGTGCTGGATGAATATCAGCACAAAATTTTATCTTCATAAAGTTCTTCAGCTTTGGCAGAAGGTCTTTTTTGTGAATTTTTGTTTCCCTTTTGCACAAGAGAATAATATTGCACATCTCTAGGCAGTCCCAGGTTTGAACATGTTTATCTGAAATACTGTAGTGTGGGATTTTTTTTTCTAGTGGGGAGTTAGGGTTCCTTTAGGGTGAAGAGTGTCTTGATGGTTTTCCATGCATGTTTTATCAAGCATTTATTTTCCTGGTTCAACAGGAAACTTATCCTTCTGACAACTGCTACTCAAACATCATTGCTTCTCTTTAATGCAATGTGATATAACACCACGGCATCCTATAATGTGCTTATTTAATGTATCAGAAGGTATTAATACCACTTGTACTAAGAAAACAACTTTCAACTCTGTTACTTAGATCAGTGGCTTGTACCTTCTGAACAAGGGAAGTAGGGAATGATAAAGGTAAGAGGAGAGACATATGAAAGAACGCTATACAAAAATGAAAGAGGAGATAAAGAAAGGGGTGGAGAACATTAAAAAAATAAAAGTTTCTGTGCCTTTGTGCCTAACACTTTGCAAACCGTGGAACCACCCTGGTACTTCCTTATCTCTTGTCATCAGGGAGAGCTGGCCAAAATTTTCTTTTCTGTGGGAAAATGTTCTTGACAGGGTGGTGGTGTTTTGTTTTTTTTTTTTTTCTCCATTTCTTTTTTTTTTCTTGTGTTGCAGGAGAATGGTATGCAGATGATATTTTGACTTTATTATAGGATGCTTTCAAAACAATTTTTCCCATAAAGTCCACACTTGCATAGCTTACTTCAGTTGTATGTTTTATTCAGGACTTAGATACAAAGTTCCTTCTCTGGAGTTCTTAGAATGAAATTGATTGTGTTTTCCACTTAAATTTAAAAAATCTGATGGTATATGAGATGCTTTAATTTGATTTAAAATTAATTCTCTTTTTTTCAAAGCACCTCTATT